GCAGTTTTATATCCAGTTCTTATCCATGGACTTCTGACTAAAAGATGTTCCTAATGCCTGGGAGAAAGGCTAGGGTGGAAATGGAGCCCTCAAAGGAAGGGCTAGGGAAAGATGTTTATAGGAGATTCTGCTAACCACTTCTTGAGGGTGCCCCCTTCAGACTACTGTATTTTTGAAGTGGATAACGTGAAAACGAAACCCTTTAAAAGGGAGGTTTTAAAAAGACATATTGGAGCCCACAAAAAAATAACTCTTTTTGAGGGGGAAGGGCAGATTTTAAGGGGAATTAAGGTTTGGGGGCGAGCTGTGGGGATGAACTAGGGTACCAAGCCTGCCCCCCGAGCCCCTTGGCACTAAGTCAGCTCCCTCACCCATTCCAGTTGACCACGCTGAACCCTCCCGCTGCTTTGTCATTGCTGCTGTTCTAGGCCACAGCCCAGCCAATGACCTTCCCTCTGAATGTCAGCTGTGTTTGTTTTTAAAAGTCACCTGCTTAGTTGATGTCAGCGTGCGTGTATTTGGTGGGGATATGTATTTTGGGGGGATTCCATGGTAGGTGATAGAGGAAGGAAGGGTCACAGTTGGGGCTGTTCTTCCTGCTTTTTCTGGTTGTATCTGTGAGAGCCTAGACGGCTTGAAGCGGGAGCTCTGAGAGGATGGGGAGATTGCAAACCCTAAGAATCTGAAAAGCACTTAAGACAGTGGGGACACTCTGCTAACTTCTGCCTCTCCCACCAAGCCTGACAGACCCTCACTGATAGCTAGGAGTTCCCCAAATGAGGACAAAGATTTGGGGGCAGCGCAGCATGGCCCTGCTCCCTGGACTTCGGTGCCTCTGCACTCCGGTTCCTTCTCCTCACCCTCCTCGTGAGGCTCCACACCAATGCTTGGTCCCTTCTGCCAGGCCCTTTGTTCCTCCTGTCCCGGTGTTTCTTTTCCTCTGCATCTTGGCACCTTTCTTCTGTTCAAAGTTTTCTGTAAATTTTTCTTTTCTTTGTTCTTTTTCTTTTTTTAATTTTTTTTTTTTTTATAAATTAATTTGCTTTCAGTTCCATCTTGTGAATGCCTGTGTTCTCTTACCTGTGGCTGCTAGGGAGGGGGCAACCTTCCTGGAGTCCCTCACTGGGCATTTACCTCAGGCCCACAGATGTCAGTCTCTTGCCACAAAAGGCCAAAGGCAACCCAGCATTTAAGACTGCAGCAGCAGGGCACACCTGCCCTGAAATAGCTCTCTGGAGAATGGATCTAAATCCTTTTAGACAGTGGCTACATTCTTTCCCTTATTAGGGAGGAGGCAGGCACTTGCCTCCCACTGTGTCACTGGCCCCCAGCCCTGCAGACAGGACAAGACAGGCGGTGGCTGTGCTGATACGTCCTGGCGATTTGGCTCCAGTGAACACCCACAGGCTTTGCCACAAAGGTGGTCAGTACCTAGGTGGGGGCCTGTTTCAAAGAAGCCCTAAGGCCAAGAAATGTAACTTGACCCAGAATAGAGGAAAAAGATCCCACACACAAGCACACAGCTAGCTTGGATCCTGTAGGGATTTATGACTTTCTTCATTCCCCAAAGAGGAGCCTTTCATTAATGAGGCCCTAATCCAGTTTCCCTAAACCCCACCCTCAGCTCTGAGCTTTGTCTCAGGACAGACATCAGCTGTCTCAGGACAGACTTCAGCACTGCCTCACCCTGGCCAGGAAGGGAAACAGAGCCAAATAGGGCAAAGAGAGAAAATTTTATTTGGTGAAGACAGACATCCAGAAGAGACCAGATGGCAAGGTGCTGTGACAAGGGAGCCTAGGAGGGGCCACAGGGAGATCTCACACTGGGCAAGGCACAGGCTCGGGGTCTGGAAGTGTCCTCAGCCATTCAGCACCATCCGGACAAGCTCTGTGGGGGAGAGGTGGAGTAAGCCAAGGAAAGGGCTCGGGAGGGTGCACCACGGGCCAGGAGACTACAAGACCATGAAGGTGGCATGAGGAACATGGCCACAGCAACCAACCCTGGGGTTAGTTTGCCAAGAGCCACCTTGAGTGACCAGCTCTCTCTGTCCCTGGCTCCCCTCCCAGCAGCTGTTAGCCCCCACCCCACGCTGAGTAGCAAGAACACAGCAGAGGCAGGAGTTCTCAACTACACCTAGAGCTACTGTCAGCCATTGGCAGGAGAGGACAGTTTTGGGTTAGGTACCTCCAAGCTGTCCAGCAGAGGGATGGAGAGAACCGTTTTGTTACAGCAGCAGAATGGGGCAAGCAGCCCACCCCCCTTTGCCAACTCTCCATGCTCCAGGGCCAAAGATCCACCGTAAGGCAAGCCTTTTCTACAAGCTGGTGAGAATTTCCTGACACCAGCACCAAGTAAGTCCAACCTCAGAGACCGGAGAGAAGTAAGGAGGTACCACACCCCCAAGCTGCTTTCCTTATTGAGGAACCCCCCCCCTCCCGAGCCAGCTCCATGCAGAATCATGCCAGGAGGAAGTCAGTTGGTAGTAGCTATGGGCAGGGGCTAGAGAGCACAGTTGGGAAGAAAGGAAACACCAGGGAGACACTAGAGGAGAGGCTGGGAGGAGCCGTACCCGCCCCATGGGCCCGTCACCCCGACAGGATGTGCCTCACAAATGCTGCAGGAAGGAAGAGACATTAATGGTGAAGACACAGACATGAGTGAAGGGGTCAGCAGTGGGGGACAGACGTTCTGTTTACTTCCCACTCATAGTCCACCCCTGTTGGGTACCCAACAGCCCCCTCCCAGGCTGGACTGGGCCTTGCCCCTTGCCCCCTTTCTGGAACCAAATCTAGGGAGAAAACATAACACCTCAGGTGCCGTCCTTAACACGCCCTAAGACCATTTCCTCCTCAAAGGCTCCAGCTGACAGCTGGACAATTACCTTCGTAGTTGATACAACCGTTGCTGTCCTCATGACCTGCCACCAACATCTCCACTTCCTCCTCTGTCATTTTCTCTCCTGCAGAGGAAGGATCATTTTAGAGCTGGGGGACAGGTGAGGTGTATCAAGGTGGCAGCCCAGCTCCAGAGCAAGGTCACAGAGCCTTACCCAATGTGACCAGGACATGCCGGATTTCAGCACCCATGACGGTACCATTCCCTTCCTTGTCAAACACACGAAGGCCTTCAACATAGTCCTCATAAGTTCCCTGGTCCTTGTTCTTGGCCACAGTCTGCAGCATGGGCAGGAAGTGCTCAAAGTCCAGCACCTTCACATTCATCTCTGCGTGCAGGAGGTACAAGTGTCAGCCAAGAGAACTGCTCGTGTTCTTGGAACACAAGAGAACTGATGGCTGCAGCAGAGAAGGGAGTCTGCAGGACTGGCTGGCTGAGCTATGAAGATACAGGGGTGCTTTTAGCTGAACAACCATAAACCCACTGGCACACTAAGTTCTTGAGAAGCTCACCATCGCTCTTGGGGTTCCCCAGGACCTTGAGCACCTCGGCGTTGGTGGGGTTCTGGCCCAAGGCCCTCATCACGTCCCCACATTGGCTGTACAGGATCTTGCCATCACCTGTTCGGTCAAACAGCTGGAAAGCCTCCTTGAATTCTAAGGATTCGAATGAACAATAGCACTGGGAATTAAGCCAGTCCAGACTGTAGAACTCTGCTGCCAATTCAACTTTAATCATGCTGGAGAAACCGGATCCCCTGTCCTGTACACCCAAGACTGCCCATAGGGATCTATTTCTACCAACTCAAATGTCCCGCAGAAAGACATAGCCACCTTCCCCTTAGCACAAGGTGGTGTCCATCTGTTTGTTTACACACCCAAGCCTGCGGTAGGCAGGCTTTCCGCTACTACACTACTCCCTAGGAATTTGTTACCGCCCCACTAGGTCCTGTCCATATAAGGAAGTAGCTGTGGCTAGGGACTCTATCTAGGGTCATTCTAGCCTGCCACTTCCCACCCTTCCCCTTACAGAGCTCTTCCAGGGGGTAAGTTAAGTCACATCCTTAGCAAACTCAGAACCCATCTTCACAAATATCAAGGCACTGCTCTTTACAGTATTTGCAATCCAAGCTGGGGGGGGGCAGTTATCACAGGATAGGCAAAAGTGGCAGATTAGAAGAGGCAGAACACAGCCATAAATAGACCCGACACACAACAGGCAGTAACCGAACAAGTTGTTTGACATACCCACACCACCTAAAACTCGCCCAGTGCTTGGGGCTCAGATCTAGAGTGGAGGGGGAAGGAAGAAAGAATGAGAAAAGAAAATGGAGGATCCAGAGAGGAGGAGAAGGAAATCCATGTGGCACTCTCCCGGGAATGCTGAAGAGATGACAAGCTGGGATCGGAGAGTAGATGCCAGCGGAGGGAGGATGTCCCCCTCGGTAAGGGTGACCTCAGTGGGGGGCCAGAGGCTGCCTACCTGCGGTCTGGTCCTCGGTGAAGTCACACTGCTCGGAGAAGAAGGGACTGGTCAGCACCTGAAGTCCAACCCCGCAAGCTTCTATCCCGGCCTCACAAACTGAACCCCCGACTCCTATTTCAAGGTGAGGGCTCGCTTCCTGAGGCAGAGTCCTAGACCTTCCGACCCCCACGTCCAACCTTCCAAGACCTGGGCTTGCCTTTGTCCACATCCACTGGCTTCTCTCCCCCGACCCATGGCTCCCTCCTTGCCCCAAATCCCCTAATCTCCCGATACCCGAGGCCCACCATCTTGGCTGCTCAGCTCTGCAGGACCTTTTCCGGCAGTAATGGCTCCGAGTCCCGACCCAGCCCTAGCTTTAGTACGCCCCATGGCGTATGACGTCACCTACGGTTTCACCCAATAGGAATGCTAGTCTGGGCACATGCGGATGACATCACTACATTAGTAATGAGTTGAGAAGCCCCCACCCTCCCGCTCAGAAACGCCCCGGGCCTGGGTTGCGACTCTTTGGAAGCTTCTCTCCCGAGCTGCACAAAGAACCAGGGAATTTGGGCTTTGGCAGAAGACAGGACTACTTCCCTCCTTCCCCTTTCTCAAAAGAAAACAGTCGGAGACCAAAGCAGGAACCATGTTTTTATTTCAAAACTGTAAGTGCCGCCTAGTGGCAGGAATGCGCTCCTAGCCGCCTGGGAGGTGGGGTAAGTGGGGTAAGTATCCGACCCGGCTGGGTCTGTGTGGGGAAAAGAAAGTTGTCCGGCTTGAGCTGCACAGATCGGGAAAACGCACTGCCTGCTCTTGTCTGGTTGGTTGAGGAGCCTCAGAACGACACTAGCGGGGGAGCTCAGAGGCTTAGGATGTGCTTCAGGAAGGCTGCACGAGAGGGGGTGAGAGGACTTCAGAAATTGACTCAAGGGTAACCCATCGAACTTTAGGAAACTGAGGGTGCCCCTCTGGTCTGCTCCTGCCCCCTTACCCTCGTAGTTGATACAGCCGTTGCTGTCCTCGTGGCCTGCTAGGACAGTCTCCACCTCTTCCTCAGTCATCTTCTCTCCTGAACCCCAAACCCAGAGCGCCTCGTGAGCTCAAGCCCCTCCTTCTCCCACCCCGCCCTTTTCTTTCCACATGGCCCACAGCAACAGTGCCTTGGAACTGGGGAAAGCTTTGACAGACAACGAAACAAGCTGCAAGGGTTGAGACTTGCGTGGAATCAGCACAAGTCTGGCTTGCAAAGGGGGATGTGGGACTCCCACCTCATCCCCTCTTCTCCGCTTGTTTGCGGGACACCTTCGCCTCTGGATGAGCGAGTTCCTCCGATTCTGCCTTTCCAGTCCCTGCCCACGACTGCAGGACTGCAATCCCATTCCAAGCTTTACCTGACTCTTTCTGGTCCTGCCCCCCTTCTCCATCCCACAGTTCTGGCCCCTGCCTCACCCAGGGTGGTAAGAACATGTCTGAGCTCCGCTCCCATGACTTTGCCATTGCCCTCTTTGTCAAACACACGGAGCCCCTCCAGGTAGTCCTCATATGTGCCTTGGTCCCGGTTCTTGGCCACTGCTTGGAGCATAGGCAGGAACGTCTCAAAGTCCACGCGTCGGGACTTCAGCTCTGGAGATCAGAGAGAGGTGAGAGAGAGGTCATTGAGGTGAGGAATCCAGTTGCGTCCATCCCTGTCATAGTAGCTTCATCCCCCTCAGCATTCAGGATGTTTTCCTGCCCTGTGTTCGACAGCTTTTGAAGTCCTGAGATCCAGCCTGGCATCCTCGTCACCTTACCACGGAAAAGTGCCACTGTGGGAGGCAGAGTGGCCAGGCGGATTCAAGGCCAGCCAAATAATTTAGTGATTCCCTCATCTCTGCAGAAAAATAAAAAAGGGAGCTCTGGGGATGCAGTGAAGTGGCAGGACACTCAAGACAAAGAGAAAACTGCTAATCCATGGGTGCACCTTCTGTCCTAGCACTCAGAGGCAGAGGAAGGCAGCGCTCTGTGAGTTTGAGGCCAGCTTGCTCTATATAGTTAGTTCCAGGACAACCTGGGTTGTTAGGGCTGCTGGGATAGAACTGTAGGTTCAAGGGCAGTAGATGCCAGGGTGAGGTCAAGGCCACACTGAGTAAGTTAAACCCTGTCTCAAAGAGTAAAAGAACAGGGCTATGGTTGAGTAATAAAGGCTTGCCTGTCTTTCACTAGGCACTGGATTCAAATCCAGCACCACATAAACTGGAGTATTCCTAGCACTCTGGTAGGCAGAAGTAGACAGGAGGTGAAGGATCAGAATTTAAAATCACTCTTCGCTAGGACAGAGACCCTGTCCTGGGGAGGGGTGCACAAAAGAAAGCTACAGGCAGGAAATGGAGCCCAGTTGTGCTTGCTTCGGCAGCACAGGTACTTAAAGCAGAGCAGTACCGAGCTTAGCCTGGCCTCGGCGCAAGGATGGCAGGCACAGTCATGAAGCATTCCATATTAAAAAAGAAAGGGAAGGAGAAACCCTGTCTTGAAAAACAAAAAAAGGGTGGTGGTGGTGATGCACGTCTTTAATCCCAGCTCTCAGAAGGCAGAGGCAGGCAGATCTCTGTGAGTTCAAGGCCAGCCTGGTCTACGGAGCTAGTTCCAGGACAGCCAGGGCTACACAGAGAAACCCTGTCTCAAAAAAACAAAAGAGAGAGAGAGAGAAAAGAAAGACAGGGAGCTCAGCGTCCCAGGGCAAAACCCATACAATCTCGAAGAAGAAAACTGAGAACCCGCATATTCCAGGGTCCCTCTCACCATCGCTCTTGGGGTTCCCCAGGACCTTGAGCACCTCGGCGTTGGTGGGGTTCTGGCCCAGGGCCCTCATCAGGTCCCCACATTGGCTGTACAGGATCTTGCCATCACCTGTTCGGTCAAACAGCTCAAAGGCCTCCTTGAACTCTGAAGTGTGAGGAGAAGGAGAGATGGTGAGGAGTCCCATCACCTCCGGACGGAAGGGAGGTTTCATTTGGACATTTTATGCTAGAGCTGGGCAAAGCACTGCGTGCTGCAGCTGGGCAGAACAAGGGAGGAAACCAGGACAGGAGTGGGAGGCCTCAAGGTCAGGACTGCAGAACAGTGACTCTGACCAGGGGCTTGGGACTGGACAATGGGGTTTAGGAAATGGCTTCTCCTCACCCTCCAGCTGGTCCTTGTTAAACTCGATCTGTAAGGGGGGGGGGAGAAGTGAGGAGATGAGAGATGGCAGGGCCTTTTCAATCCCTCTCTGGCTCGCTCACCCACTTCTGGGCAGCCACTTCTGGGGAGGGGCCCAGAGGGATGAAGCTGAGAGCCCTGTCACTCTGGTCCCATTCCCGGCTCTGGGCCTTGGGAGAATCCCAAGAGGAATTATAGGGGGAGGGTTTCCTGGGAACAGGGCTAATCCCATGCCACCTGTTCCCCTCCCTCCACTGCCCTGAGCCTGCATCCCTCACATAACTGGGGGCTGAACAAAGGCTAAATTTACCCCTGCCCCCAGCTGTGATTGTCTAACAAGCCTGTCCTCTTTAATCTCCCCTCCTGAGGTTCAGAGACATGGTCTTTTGTGTTAAACAGCCAGCCCGGGGCAGACAGCCACTCTCCCTTCACCTTGAAACTGGCCTGGGAACCCCCAATCTCCCTATGGTGCTCATTCATCTTCCCACCCATTCCCTGATTCCCTGGGCTGGATCGCATCCTTGAACCTCCCCTTCCAAGCCATAGTTTGCTGGGACTCACCACGACTTTGGAGAGATCAACAGGGGGCTCCTGGGTTTTTGCAGGGGCCTGGGGGGCAGCTGGCTCAGCCTTGGTCTTGGCTGAAGGGGTCCCTGCTGCAGACTTGGCAGCAGGCTTAGAGATGGGGGGCCCTGCTGGTTTCTTCACAGGAACATCCTTCTTGGGAGGCATGATGTCAGGTGGCCAAAGGACAGTGTGCCGACGGGAGCACCCATCTCTGTTTAAATAGGCAGGGAGTCTGGGATGTCAAGGGGCGGGGGCAGGGACGGGGCAGGGAGCCAGTTGGCGGTGGCAAGGGTGAGGGACAGGAGAGTTACGCCTGTCTGCCTTCACTCCCCTGGCCTCCTGTAGTTCAGGACTCCTGTCCCAAAGTTTCTTCCTTCTGCCATTCCTCCCCCAAAGCTGACAAGAACATTGTTTCCTTTAAGGATAGGGGAAAGACACAGGAGACTTCTCAGATTTAACCTCCAGGGTGAGAATAGGGTGTCTGCCAGTGCTACTGAGATGGGAGTGAGGGAAGAGGGGTAAAAAAACGTAACTGAGAGCCTGGGCAGTGGTCGCACGTGTCTTTAATCCCAGCGCTCAGGAGGCAGAGGCAGGCGGATCTCTGTGAGTTCGAGGCCAGCCTGGTCTGCAAGAACTAGTTCCAGGACAGCCTGAGATGTTACACAGAATAAACCCTGTCTCCAACAAAACAAAACAAAACAAAACAAAACAAAAATACAACAAAAACCGCTGCATTAGTTTCAGACTGTAGAAGACCCAAGCAATGGGGGACTTGGGGGTGGAGTAGGGAGCTGGCCAGTATAGGAGCCTAGTGGGAAATTTTTAAATAAATTCCGAAAATTTTTAAATAAAGGTGTGTGTGTGTGTTTCCACTCTCTTCTGCCCATTCCCATAGTTATTGATCACTAGAACATGTAGTCCCTAGGCTACCCCCAACCTGGAACCATGCACAGCAGCTGAAACAAGGCATCGCCCCCTATCTTCTGCACCTGGTGCTGACTTAGGGGTGCAGGTATAGACAAGGTTTAACTTCTGCCACATATACTCAAGAAAGAACGTTTTCTCACAAGGTACTGTTATTCAAATCAGACAAAAGGCTAGGGTGCCTGAGGAGCTTGGAGAACACACACGAAGGGACGGCTCTGGGAGACAGAAGCCTAGATTCTCTAATCCGAAAGGTTACATGATCCGGACTGGTCCATGGGTATTCCCATACCCACACCCCAAGCAGGAGCATAATAAAAACCTGAGCTCAGCTCTGAGTCACAAACCCTGCTGGAAGTCGTGGCAAAGGGGAGGGGTCGTGTTTGAGAACTAGGAGCAGGCTCTGGCTATTCTATTCTTGGAGAAAGAAGATTTAGGTAGCATTCAGAGAGACTGGTCATTCCACTTAGGCCCTGGGGAGTGATACTATGTCTGCCTTTGTAAAAGGGCGTCAGAATCTTTTTACTGAAAATTGTCCCATTTTTGGAAAATAAGAAATCCTTCTGCAGACAACACACCTGTTTCTCTTATTCACATTCCTAAACCTTAGAGAAAAGAAGGCCCACCCAACCGTGCAAAACTTACCTTGCCGGGTGCTAGGAAGGGGCGGGGGCGAGACGCAGGGCTCCTCTGGTCCCTGAAGGGTTAACTGCGGCGGCCGCGGAGCATACCGGGAGTCGTAGTCCGTACGCGCTCCCTGGCTCACAGGAAACCTTTCTCCAGCGGTGAGAGGTGGCGGTGACTTCCGGCCCGCGGCGGCAGTTGGTGACTCAGTCTCCGCAGTGTGCGCGGGTTCTGGAACTGAGAGGGCTTGAGCGTCCCCACCCACGACCTTACGGCTGCGGGGCCCACGGACGCCCGCAAGCCTCGGGGCGGGGCAGAGGTTGCTTTCGCTTCCTCCAGCGGTTGCTAAGAACCAAGCCCGCGGAATTGTGTGGCTTGAAGCTGTAAAGTTTGAATATTTTTTTTTTCATTTTTACGTTTACTCTTAGGAAGCTGGTTCCTGAAGTAAATGTTAAGATTTGCAGTTAAGCCGAGTCATGTGCCCCAGACGCTACTGGTGAGGCCTCCCCCGTGCTCACAGATGCCCTGAAAATGCCGCGCTGGGCTCTGCAGCCTGGGCGCTCGCCCTTTCTCCCTGGCGGTTACTAAAGGTCTGGGTGCAGAGGGAACTGGACCACTGTCCCGGGCCAGATGAGTAAATACTCTGGCGGGGTGCCCCATAGTAGAGCTTGTGAAAGCAAGTGGACCAGAAATAGCTCAGGGTAGAAAACTGCCAGCGACACCGTAGGAATAATGAGGCACGAGCCAACTTTATGGCCAGAAACAAACACACTCTCCCTAGCCAGAGAAAGCTCCGAAGAGTAAAAAGGTCTGTAGGGGTGCTGGGGATGGGTGCTCAGTTGCTAGTGTGTTTGCTTATCAAGCACAAAGCTCCGGGTCCCAGCATTCAGGAGGTGGAGGTTCAAGCCAGCCTGATCTACACGAGACCCTGCCTCAGAAAACAGAAAGGAAAGAAGTAACATGATACAGGAAACTATTCCTGGAGGTTGTACACCTGAGACTGGGGCCTGAGAAAAGGAGTGGTCTCTCTGGACCCATGAAATAACTCCCGTGATTAGACACGGTAATGTTTTTCAAGTTTGTTTATTGAGACAGGGTCTTTCTACATAGCTCTGACTATCCCGAGACTCACTGTTTGGACTGAAACTCACAGAGATCCACATGTCCCTCCCAAGTGCTGGGATTAAAGGCCTGTGCCACCATGTGCCCAAGGCTTTATTTTTATGAGTGAACGTCGTTTAGCCTGCATGTATGTGTGTGCACCATTGCATGCCTGATGCCTAGGACGGTCACAGACCGCACTGGATCCCTTGGAACTGAAGCTACAGAAAGTTCTACACTGCAGGGTGGATATTGGGAACTGAACCCTAACCCAGTGCTCTTTTGAATTTTTTCCCCCTGAAACAGGGTTTTTCTGTGCTTTTCGCTTTGTAGAGCAGGCTGGCCGCAAACTCACGAGCTTCGTCTGCCTCTGCCTCTGCCTCTGCCTCCTGAGTGCTAGAATTAAAGGCATGGGCACCACCGCCCAGCAATCCAATGCTCCTAGCCATCGAGCTGTTTCTCCTGCCCCATAACCAGGCAATATTAAATCTGTAACACAGAATGGAGTGTACATGCTGTAAACATGGCAAAGAAAATTCCCAACATCCGCATGTCTATTGGCCTCTTCTTGTTTGAGACAGTCTCATGGCACCCAATCTTGCCTTAACTCCTGAGGCTCCTGCCTCCACCTCTAGGTGCTGGAGAGCCTGAGCTGTGTCCCCATGTCCAACATCCCTTGTTTCACATTTTTGAAGGATTAATTGGTGTAAAAAGATGGGAGAGGGAGAAGGAATGCATCAATCATAAGTAGTTACAAGACTCTTTAGAGAAAGGTCATGTATGTAGGTTACACATTAGCTCATAACTTGCACTGAAGTTGATTTTTGAAAGTGTTTTTTAATAGAGTCCAGAACCTCGCCATGATTGTAGCCATGTATCACCATGCCCACTTTATTCTAGTATTAGTCTCAGTATAATTTAATACACACTTCCAAAGGATATATTAAACAGCCATCCAGGCAGTGGTGGCTCACGTCTTTAATCCCAGCACTTGGGAGACAGAGGCAGGCAGATCTCTGTGAGATCAAGGCCAGTCTGGTTTACAGAGCAAGTTCCAGGACAGGCTCCAAAGCTACACAGAGAAACCTTGACTTAAAAAAAAAAAAATTGAGAGTTTGAAGATTTAGCTCTGTAGTAGAATCCAGGGGGAGGTGGGCACTAAGGAGAACAGCTCTCTTGGACTAGGGTTTCCCTAGCATTCATAAGGGCCTGGATTCAAGGGCCAGCACTAGATAAAGTGGGCATGGTGGCACACACAGACAATCCTAGCATTCAAGATGTGGAGCCCGAAGAATTAGAAGTTCAGATTTAGCGTCAGCTCTGCAGTCTTGGTCCAGCCTGGGACACGGGAAGACCCATCTTCATGCAGACCAGAAGAGGGCATCAGATCTCATTACAGATGGTTGTGAGCCACCATGTGGTTGCTGGGAATTGAACACAGGCCCTTTGGAAGAGCAGCCAGTGCTCTTAACCACTGAGCCATCTCTCCAGTGCCAAGACCTTGTCTTAAACCAGAAAGAAGAATGAATGAAGTAGCCTTGGTGGTGCCTGTGTGTGAGCCCGGTCTGGGGGTGGAGGGAGGACAAACCAGTGCTGGAGGACGCGATCCCCGAAGCAACAGGAAAGAAGGCCGGAGGTAGAGCGATTGTCCGCGCTGGAGGTAGAGCGATTGTCCGCGCTGGAGGTAGAGCGATTGTCCGCACTGGTTCAGTCTCCATCACCCCCCAGAGGAAGACTTTTTGTTTTGGGGAGAGGTCTCGTGCAGCCCAACCTATGCTCTTAGCTGGACGTGTTGTCCGGCACGGCTTCCTTTTAAATGATCTCACTGGCTGGTCTGGACTCTGGTGCGGGGGCGTGGGAGTTAAAGGTGTGTGCTTGACCTTGAGTGATCTCTTTCCCCGTAACTGCGTTTACAAGGTTCTTGGGATTGAACCAGAACTTCCTGCACGCTCTACGGATTGTACAACACCCATAGCCCTGAAAGGGAAGACGTTTTGATAACTGCACGGCAGTGTGTCGTTTCAGAAACTTGAGTAATGGGTCCCCCCATACAACTAGGTTTTTAAACACTAGATGGACAATAGCTTAGGAGGGGGAGCACCTACTTTGTAAAGCAACAGAGAAAAATGGTTAGCCAAGATAAGTGTGCTGGCTAATTTCTATGTCAGCTTGCCACAAACGCGTCATCAGAGAAAAGGCAGCCTCAACTGAGAAAGGGCCTCCAGGAGGTGGGTCTGTACACAAGCCTGTAGGGTTAACCCAGCCAAGAACCAATTATCCACTGCATCCTCGCATTGGGGTGCAGGAAAAACACACATCCTAGGCCTGAGTTCTCCCCATTACACAAAGACAGTTCCTGCAACCCCCTTGAAATCCAAAAATGATAAGACTAAACCTCAGCCAATTAGAAATAAGCAAATATGGGCTAGAGAGATGGCTCAGTGGTTAAGAGCTTTGCCTGTTCTTCCAAAGGTCCTGAGTTCAATTCCCAGCAACCACATGGTGGCTCACAGCCATCTATAATGAGATCTGGTGCCCTCTTCTGGCATGCAAGCATACATGGAAGGAATGTTGTATACATAATAAATAAATTAATTAATTAAAAAAAAAGACCATAAAAAAAAAGAAATAAGCAAATGTAACTGCTGCTTACTTAACCAACTAGCGGTGTGATGACCTCACCGTCCCCGGAACACCACTAGCTATGCTTAAAAGGAGCCTGCCCGCTTCTCTCAGGGTCGTCGCCATTTTGGACAGGAATGCTGGAATGTTAAATGCTCTTTGTTCTGGCATACTGTTGAAGTCTGGGGTCTTTATCTTTTCCTCGGACCCTACAGGCGGGCTGTTCTGTGGGAAAGACACAAACATAAGAGCAGTGCAGAACACGGAGGCCTGGCTTGTGAAGTTTCCCAGGGAAGCAAAGACGTCGACCTTCCATGTGAGGCCTCCGCTATCTGGCCAGCGGGGCTGAAGGGTCAGCTGTGACTCACTGAGTCAAACTCTCCCGGGAAGTGTTTCCTCCCAGTCAGCACACAGAAGCTGTGGTCCAGAGGCAGCCAAGGTTGAACCTCATGCCGGCTGCTGAACTTGGTAGTGTAAGAGTCACCCACTGATACTGCTTTGAAGACATAAAGGGACCGTACAAGAGCCGCTGAGGTTTGACGCTGCGGCAGGCCTGGAGTCCCTGAAGAGAGCCCAGGAGAGGCTGGCTGTTGGTGAAAGTGCAGCCCAGTTGCAGGAGAGGACCCCAGCATTTTGGAGATGCCAGTGCCGGGGATGATCACCAAGAACCCCAGCTGTGGAGTGGAGCCAGCCTGAGCCCAGTAGACAGGCCGTGTGTGCTGCAGAGGGCGGACCCAGAGAAGGACCCAAGCCCTTTGGAGGAGCACAGTTGGGGCATGAATTCCAGAAACTGGACACTGTTTACACTGTTGGAATTTGGTTTTGCTTTGTTCAGATTGTGCTGTAAACTGCTTCTTCCTTCTTGATGTAAGAAAGTAACTTTGGGTGGGGGTGGGGGTTGAGACTTTGTGTAGCCGCGGCTGTCTTGGAACTGGCTCTGTAGACCAGACTGGCCTCAAACTCAGAGATCCGCCTGCCTCTGCCTCCCGAGTGCTGGGATCAAAGACATGTGCCTCCACTGCTGGCCTTATTTTTTATTTTACAGGAGCCCACAGTTAGATTTTGAACATTTTAAATAGACTTTGGACTTTTACTTTGTGAATTTTTGAAGATTTATTTATTTTATATGCATTGGTGCTTTGTCTGTATGTATGTCTGTGTGAGGGTGCCAGGTTCCCTTGAACTGGAGCTATAGACAGTTGTGAGCTGGGAATTAAACGCAGGTCCTCCGGAAGATCATCCAGTGCTCTTAACCACTGAGTCTTCTTGCCAGCCCTAGTGTTTGAATTTTTAAAGTCTATGGGACTTCTAAATTTTGGGATGTTTTTCTGGGCAGTGGTGGCACATGCCTTTAATCCCAGCACTCAGGAGGCAGAGGCAGGTGGATCTCTGAGTTCGAGATCAGCCTGGTCGACAGTGATGTTGAAGGGCCCAACCCATTGGGGATGCTGCCATCCCTGGGAAGAGGTCCTGGTCGCTATGAGAAAACAGGCTGAGCACGCCAGTAAGCAGTCCCCT